GGGCAACGAATATACAAATGTGCTTGACACAATGGATGGATGGATGGATTGTGATAAGAGTTGTATGAGCCCCCAATAAAATGATTTTTTTAAAAAGGGAATGGCAAACACATGAGAAAACATTTTCTGATTCCATACTCATTGACTTACTTCATCTCCCACCACTTTTTCATCCACTGATCTTTGGGAATTTCACCCTTAAAGGCCATCCACCTCCACTTCTCCAGCATGTAAGTAAAGGGGAGAGTTCCAACAATTGTGAGTGCTTGTTTGAGCAGGAAGTTCAGGTCTGTTTCTGGAAACAAAATGGCAAAGGAGAAAAATTAAGATGAGGATGACAGCATGTATTTTGTGCCAAAGAGAATTTTCCTCATCTCGAGGTATTATTGCTCAAGATATGTTCCCTCTAAGGATTAAAACCAGAGAAATATTGAAGTGGTCTCTGTATATATAGATATATAGATGTGTATATATACATTTTTTCAACTAAGGAACTTAAAATAGGATAAAGCATTGGACTAGAATGAGTAAATAAAATCCCCAGGTATCCCCTAATCCTCCTGGACTGGATGGAACTGCCCCCTTGAGTTTATGAGACTGTAACTCTTTACAGAAGTAGAAAGCCTCATCTTTCTATGGAGGAGCAGATGGAGTTTGAACTGACCGTGCAGTTAGCAGCCCAACACAGAAGCACTCAGCCACCAGGGCTCCTGATACTGCCTACCTCAAACACCACGTCTCAGAGCTAACTAGGGCTAGTTCATCAACTTTCCCAGCCATGCTACTTATTACTGTAAGCTCTGTGATGGCAACGACTGTTAAGGTTCCCTTCAAGACTGTATGCATAGCTCAGGGTCTGCTACTTGATGCTCTCTGTGGATTTTTCTTAAATAAATGTCAGAGAGATATGGTCAAAAGCCAGTGAACCAAGAAGAGGGTCCCTGGAAAACACCACCCACTGGATATTAAAAACTTGAATGTCATTTAAATGCACTGACATTTTTCTCACCATAAAAACACATCATGCTATTCCATTTATCCTTCAGTTGTGAAGAAACTAGGCAACTGAGATCCTCTGTAGCACATAAATGAAGCTCACTGGAATGCAAGCTCTGGGACACCTTATCGACTTGGCACAACACTGTCTATTCAGACTCTATTAAAACACCTTGAACACACATGGTATGTGCTCATTAACGATTTGAAAGAAGAAAGGAAGGCAGAGAAGGTGGGGTGGGAGGAAGAAAGGGTTAGTTCCCCCCGCCCCCAAAACATCATTCACAGATCAAAGGCAAACCCAAAGAAGAAACAGATTTTTTTTCCAAACCAGAAGTTTAACTATGTCTAGTACTATCTTAAGGAGCCTGGTGGTGCTGAAGGTTAAGCATTGAACTGCTAAACAAAAGGTAGGTGGTTCAAACCCACTAGCCTCTCAGCAAGAGAAATATGAGGCAGTTTATTAAGGTTTACAGTCTCAGAAACCCTAAGGACCATTTCTGCTCTGTCCTATCTAGGGTGGCTATGAGTTTTAATATACCCAATAGGTTTGGGTTAGTACCATTCTTAAGAACTATAGAGCTCCAACCATCTTTGCCTGCTTGCAGGGAATATTAAAAATGATAAAATAAATAATGATCTGGTGTTTATTTTGAATGAATGAAATATTAAAATGAGGTAGTACTGGTAGGTATGATTAATGATAACTGCCTTCTCCTCCATTCTTCTTCTTCCTTCATGGAAGATACCACCATTGATCTATAATGTCCTGGGTCTGTGCTTACAGCAACTCTTTAAACATGATGCGAGCTTTACATTGACCTATTCTCAGGCTCTTTTGAGATCACAGAGCGTCTGGAGTCAATGATCAAAGCACAGTGAACAGCTCACTTAAAAACAGAGCTCATGACCTTGACCTCATTGGCCAAAAGCTCCAGCCAGAGGACTCGATGTTTATGTCCCAGAGAGCTAACACGTGGAGAGAGAAATGTATCAAAGAGATGAAGGCTTTTGCCTGTAATTAACCTGCTGACAAAGAGGAAATCAAAGCCAAGGCATCCTCATGGAAGAATCTGGATCTCGTGAGCATTTATCATGCTCTATTAAGTCCAAGTTGCCCAAAGAGAAATGGGCTGCCTCAGGCAAGATGGGCTGTTTGTCAGGAGATCCTAAAGAATAGCCTGTAACATTTGCTTGATTACAAACAACAACAACCAAAAAAAACCCCTTGCCCAGATCAAACCAAAGAATCCCATGCACAAGCCATGAGAGAATATTCATACCAGTGTCCTCCTGGAAATCAGATGGCAGGAGGCCAAGGGCTTTCAAATGCTCAGGCGTAGCAGCAGACAGTGACATGATTTCTCCAACAGCTTCATGGAACCCCTCATTAGCTCCATTTCTTAGCAGGAAGGGTTGATTGGCATATGCCATGTCATACTGGATGTGTCCCATCTCGTGATGGGCTGTCAGGAAGTCATCCATTGCCACCTTTGTGCACATCTTGATCCTGCACATAAATGGACAAGATTAAAGTCGGCCTCATGGAATTGGATGCCCTCATCACAGTAGTTTTATGGGGCTTGCGGGGCAGGGATCCTCTTTCCCAGATGTATTCACCAATGAACCATGCGTTCCTACCTATTATGTCCTAGAAACTGGACTCACTCACTGCCATAGAGTCGGTGCCAACTCATAGTGACCCTATAGGACAGGGTAGAACTGTCCCCGTGGGTTTCTAAGAGTGTGACTCTTTACAGGAGTTGAGAATAGAAAGTCTTGTCTTTCCCCTGAGGAGTGGCTGGTAGTCTTGAACTGCTGACTTCGCAGTTAGCAACCTAAAGTGTAACCACTCTGCCACTGGAAACTGTACTCGTGCTCAACAAAAAGTGATGGGCAGGGCCGAATCCTGTCCTCCTGCTCACAGAGGAGAATAGAGTCCCGAGGTGATGCAAATGTAACCATGGGTAACCATGCCCAGAGACACCTCAGAAGGTCTGATGGGTTTACTTCAGAAAAATCAGTTAACAGAACCCCCTACAGAGTGCAGTTCTGTTCTGAAGTAATTGGTACTACCTTGCAACAGAATCAACTCATGAGTTAGCTAATGGGCTGTCTGTCTGGTTTTATACATAAAGTTTTATTAGAACCCAGTCAAGTCCATAAGTTTCTGTATCATTTACGGAGCCCAGGTAGCACAAGCAGTTGTGGTTTAAATCCACCCACTGGTACCATGGGGGGAGCTAGACAACCAAGAAAACCTGTGGCACACAGGGTCACTGAGTCAGAGGCCAACTCAATGAGAGCTAACAATAACAACATGGCTATTGGCATGCTACAAGGGTCGAGTTGAGCAGTTGCAATAGAGATGCACAAAGCCTAATCCATCTGTACACTGAAAGGCATTGGCAAACCCTTACTCTAGCTGAGCTGTGGAGGCCCCACCAGGTCCCAATTATCAGGCAGATGCACCCATCACCCAGCAGCCTGAGTCATGAGTGCCAAGAGGCAACAGATAACCCTTCCTTCACTGCCCTTGGCAGGTGGAAGGTCTGACCACCAGCAGGAGGTTATGTTCTGGGGCAGTCAGAGCCAGTGATGAACATGGTTGCCCAAAGATTAGTCCTCTTGCAACAAAATGGGATGAATCTGTGGGATGAATCACGGCTCATGGCAAACCTCCAGCTGAGACCACAGTCTTGCTCAGCTCCTTCCATCCCCTGCTCCCCACGACTGCCTTCACTCCCCTTTGCTCCAGTGCTTCAGTCCCCTTTTCTTTACTCCCTCAAGAAAGCATTTGCACAAGAACCTCCATCTCGGGCTAGGTAACCCAACCCAAGACTCACAAATTTGCAACCTGAGAATGACTCCTCTTTCTAGATTAGGAAACGGAACCCTCAGGTTACATACCGGCCCAATGTTGCATAGTCACAATGACTGTGGAATTTCCAAACCTGTGCTCATCCCTCAAGTCATGCAGGCCCTCCTTCCAGGGTCTGCACTCTAGCTGATTCCCAGACCCCCTGAAGGGCTGACCTCTCTGTCTTGGACCCTGATCCTCTCCGCCCCCCCCCCACCCGCCCCCTTGTGCCCTCCTTCCCTCTCCACCTGAGCCAACCCTTCTCGCCTCTCACGTCCACTTTTAATGTCACCCACAGAGTCCTGTCTGCTCCTACCACCTGTTCTTCCAAGTGTAGTCAGTTTTTCTCTTCTAACCCCCCACCATGCCATAGCTCTTTTGACATGCATCACTTTTGTCCCAGCTTCTTTGTTCCCTTGTCCTGCCTCGGTGCCTGATTCATAGACCTATCTTCCATAAGCCTCAACACCAACCCTTTCCAAATGGGGACGACAACAGCCCCCTGACCATGCCTTTCTAAGAGTTGGCTGTTGCTTCCAAAGGAGGAAGATTGTCTAAAGGTTCGTGGTAGGGCCAGAGAATAATCTCTCATTACTGGGAAAGCCACGATGTGCCATCCCAGATTCCCAGCCTTCCCTCGGAGAGTGTTGGCTCTCCTCTTCCTTGCGCTTCTGTGTGCTCAGAGAAAGCCAAAAACTCACTGCCATCAAAGCGGTTCTGACAGGCCCTGTGGGTTTCCCAAGACTATAAGTCTTTTCTTTTAATCATTTTATTAGGGGCTCATACAACTCTTATCACAATCCACACATACATCAATTGTGTAAAGCGCATTTGTACATTCATTGCCCTCATCATTCTCAAAACATTTGCTCTCCACTTAAGACCCCGGCATCAGGTCCTCATTTTTCCCCCTCCTTCCCCACTCCCCCCTCCCTCATGAGCCCTCGATAATTTATAAATTATTATTTTGTCATATCTTGCCCTGTCTGACGTCTCCCTTCACCCACTTTTCTGTTGTCCATCCCCCAGGGACCCTCCTGGGGGTCTCATATAGTTCCTTGTAATTGGTTCCCTCTTTCCAACCCACTCTCCCTCTACCCTCCCAGTATCGCCACTCACACCACTGGTCCTGAAGGGATTATCCGCCCTGGATTCCCTGTGTTTCCAGTTCCTATCTGTACCAGTGTACATCCTCTGGTCTAGCCAGACGTGCAAAGTAGAATTTGGATCACGATAGTCGGGGAGGTGGGGAGGAAGCATTTAGGAACTAGAGGAAAGTTGTATTTTTCATCGTAGCTATATCGCACCCTGACTGGCTCATCTCCTCCCTGAGACCCCTCTGCAAGGGGATCTCCAGTGGCCTACAAATGGGCTTTGGGTCTCTACTCCGCACTCCCCCCCTCATTCACTATGGTAAGATTTTTTGTTCTGATGATGCCTGATACCTGATCCCTTTGACACCTCATGATCACACAGGCTGGTGTGCTTCTTCCATGTGGTCTTTGTTGCTTCTGAGCTAGATGGCATGTTTACCTTCAAGCCTTTAAGACCCCAGACACTATACCTTTAGATAGCGGGGCACCATTGACTATAACTCTTAACAGGAATAGAAAGTCTTTTCTTTCTACTGCCCAGCAGCGGATGGTTTTGAACTGTTGACCTGGCCATCAGCAGCCCAGCACCTAACCACGACGACGACGCCTCCCCCCACCCCACCCCCACCAGGCCACCCTTCACCGCCCAGCTCCTGTGCTAAGAGAAGCAGAGCAGGAATTCAAGCTCAACCTCAACCTCGCCCTTGCCCCTCCCGCTGATAAGTAAGGCAGTGCTACCTGAAGTCGTTCAACCCCAGGTCCCAGGCGGTAGGGTGGCAGACCACTTTCTGACCGTTGTTTGGCTCAGTGAGCATCGATTTGTCCCAGAATCCTTGAGTCATAGGAAAAAGGTCCACAGACATAAAGAATTTTTCAGCCTCCTTGAATATCCTGGTTGCATCCCAGCCCTGGGGAAAAAAAAAAAAGATAGTGTTTCATTTCAGCATGAAAACAGTGGCATGCATGTGAATGTGTACATTGGCCTCAACTTCCTAGAAGGCAATTTGGCAGCATGTAGAAATAGCTTTCAAAATATTTGTATTCTTTGCCTCAGTAAGCCTGTCTCAAGGGATTTAACCTAAGAAGACCATCTGAAATTAAGTCAAATCAGTCTGTTTGAAGTGGTTATTTTTAATGGTGAAAAAGTGGAAAAACCTCTAGAATGGTTTGATAAGTAATAGGACCTTTAGAGAGTGGACGGAGCCCAGGTGGTGTAGTGGTTAAAGTGCTCGGCTGCTAACTGAAAGGTCAGGGGTTTTCACCCACCAGCTGCTCAGGGGGAGAAAACTGTGGCCATCTGCTTCTGTAAAGATTACAGCCTTGGAAACTTGGTGCTACGGCGTCCTAGAGGTTCACTATGAGTCTGAATCGACTGAAAAGTAAGGGGTTGGGCTTGGTTTGGTTTACTAAGTGGAAAATTATGCAATCACTCAAATCGTATTTACCAAGAGTTGTTATCAATGTGATAAAATCATCAAAATTTAATGGTATGTGAAGAAGTAGCATTTATGAATTGCTTATATAATGAAAGCACACATGGAAAATGTGGATAGCAGACTGGATGAGATTATGTAGGTTTTTTATCTTCATACTTGATGTTACAAATAGAAATATAAACAGCAATGACCTCTTCCCCATGGCAGTTAAAGCAGAAACATCAGTTTCACAAAGAACATGGACTAGTCAACGCAAGTCAACTGCCGTTGCTCGAGTACTTTCTCAGACAAAGCCTGGTAGAAGACACAAGCAAGGAGATGTCCTGGCTCCAGAGGTAGCCCAGTAGTTGGTGGGCTGTTGAGCCTTGGTTTCACAGTATGCATGGGAGTCCAAACTTTTAGAATGTTCCCAAGCTAGGGAGAGGCAACAGTAGACATCTGCCACCCAATAAACTCTGCTGGGCGTCAACGTCCCAGGAACTGACTAACCCTGCTTAGGAGATAAGACCGAAATTGGGCAAAGGGAATTTGTGTCTTTGGCAGACACCTGATGAATCACACTGATGGACACAGAAAGCTTCCTCTGATAGGAAAGACAAGTCAAATCTTGTTTTTCTTCTATGACATCTCTGATCCTAGCAAACAGGGCATGCAACTGTAGGGCTTTGTTTTGTGTTACTGTTTACTACTGGCCTTTAAGAGCTTAATACCAGGCAACATTGATGGAGATGAGTATGGCATTCTTTAGAACAAATGTATGCCATAACAGCATAGACTAGTAAGCACAATTAATGTCTGGTGAGATGTATTGTTCAAATATTCTATAGAAGAATATTTTACCAAAATAGGGGAAAGACAGAAGCAAATTTCACATTTTCATAGAATGCAGGAGTGCTTGAGGCCAGATGAACCCCTAAAACTATTGACCTGAGAGCATCGAAAATTTTTAAACCACAAAGAAGTTTGCATTGAGCCTTGTGCTCTTTCAGAGAACTATCTACATATGGGATCAAATTGACAACAGCCACTCAGAAGTCTCCATAGGCAGCTTCGGGACGGCGAGTTAATATTAATGGTGGAATACTAATTTGGAAAAGGATGGCTGGGATGCTTGCACAACTTAAAGAGTAGAATCAGTGTCACTGAATTATAGTGATTGTTGACTTGGTGTTTGTTTTTCCTGTATATAGATTCACAACAAACCAAAATCCAAGAAATTATTAGTTTTTCATTCCAAACCTTTCCATGAAAATACCAATGAGTTGTGAAGTTGAAAAAACATGCTAATAATAAACAATATCAAAAGCAAATTGCTATAAAATATCTGCTTTTAAAAAAATATTGACTGAATGAATACATTGAAAACCAGCCTAGAAATATTAGGCATTCTGAGTCCCACCCTAAGTTGTCCCTGACCCTCCTTTGGGATTTTGGACAATTCATTTTACTCGAGGCTCGTTTCTGCATCTACAACACGGAGTGGCGCTATCGCAATGCTGGTCCTGACACTCACAGTGGGAAGGGTAGCATCTGGAGAGCTGGTGGGTGTGAACACCCTGTAGGAAAAACTAAGGAGCTACAGGAAGGTAGACATCCACTGCTGCTCAACTGTGAGGTGGGCCTGGGGCAGCTATCTGCCTACCTCACCCCCTCATTGGAGAAAATGGGCTTCAATCTATAAAAGACGAGTTTGGAAGCCCTTGCAGCTTCATGTGCTTCTTCTACAGTGGGCATTTCCCAAGAGTGAGTATGTATTCAAAGATGTTTGTTGCAACGTGACTTACAACCAGCCGTTCATAGAACGGTTCATTGTTCATTGCAATGTTACTTCGAGTTATTCATGGGAAAATGGACTTAAAAGATAACAGAATTTTCCCATGAACTTTTTGAAGGCCCCTCCTATATAGCTAGTAGGAGGATGATTACCCAGGAAGGTAGAATTGTAGTTGGACAAAGAAAAAAAATCAGTATAATTATATAAACCATCAGCAACTCCAAGGGAGAAAGACTGGGCTTTCTACTCCTGAAAACAATGACAATCTTGGAAACCCACAGGGGGTCGCTGTGAGTCAGCACTGACTCCATGGCAGAGAGAAAGGAAAAGAAACGAAAGCTGTGAACGGGGACACAGAAGTTAAAGAAGTTAAACAATTATATCCAGATGGTCAAATACCATCATCGTAAAATGAGGAGGCCTGGTGGCTTAGTGCTTATGAGTTGGGCTGCTGCTAACCACAAGGCCAACAGTTCAAAACCACAACTGCTCCTCTGGAGAAAGACACGGTTTCTGCTCCTGTAAAGTTTTGTTTGTTTTTTCCCTCACTGCTAACGAGCTGATACCAACTCATAGCGACTGTAGAGAGCAAAGTAGAATCGCCCCTGTGAGTTTCCAAGCCTGTAACTCCTTATGGGATGCAGCTGAGGGTTTGGAGCTGCTGACTTTGCGGATTTCAGCCCAATGCATAACCCAGGCTCCGCTGTAAAAAGTTTCCGTCTGGGAAATCCACAAGGGCAGTCCTACCCTGTCCGACAGGGTCACCATGAGTGGCATTGACTCAATGGCGGAGAGTTCGAATTTTTCAGTAAAATAAAAGCGAAGTAAAAATTATTTTAAAGGAGAAGAAAGGGGCGATGAGGGCAAGTGGGAGGGGGGAAGCATGAAGCACGTCCTGTTCCCCGCCCCTCAGGCCCTAAAATGAGAGATGTTTTTTTTAAAGAAATTATTTTAAAGACTCATCATATGTGGTGTTGATCTTTTCCATGAAAGACCAGCTACATGAGGAAATTAAATTTAAATGAGCTTGAAAGGTTTTTATTTAGATGGCGTCATAGGCAAAAGATAAGAGCAAGATGCTGTTATAAAAAGAAATAGAGTTGAAAATGTAGATTGGGTTTGTAAGAACTCTTCTTCATACCTGCTTCACCATTGCGTCCGTGACATCTATGTTTGGTTTATGTCCAAAAGGAACTGTCAAAGGATATAGATTGGTCCAAAACCGACCCCACATATCACCTAATTAAAAAAAAATCCTGTTAACATATGACAAAGACAGTAGAAACAGAGACCTGATTTTACATGGCGACACTTGTTTATTCTTCCATTATCTCCTCTAGCAGGTTTCAATGACAAGACATGATGGGGTTAGGCAGAGTTCATTTGTAAACCATTCCAGTTTCTCCCATCCCCAACTATCATGTGAGAGCCCAATTTAGTAATCTAAATTACTGTAGATTAGAAAGGGATGTGTATAAGGCACCATCCACAAAACATTACAAGTTAATCTAACTATGAACCGATGCCTCCTATGAGATTCAAGAAATTATACAGGTTCATCATTCAAGAGTGGCAGCTAACTAGTGACTAAGATTGACCTTTGGTACTTCAAGTGTCCTTGGGTGGCACAAATGGGTAGAACACTGACACTAGCCACAAGTTTGGTGGTTCCCACCCACTCAGATGTGCCTCCGAAGAGAGGCCTGGTGATCTGCTGCCTTGATCTACTCTGCACACGTGGGGGTTACCATGAGTTAGAAATGACCCCACGATAATTAACATAGTGATATACTTAACTGGTGATTTGTTCTAAAAGAGAAATGCTAATAAAGACAAATGTGAAGCTCAATGCTTAAATTTTAAAGAAAAATCTATCCATCCTAGAAGTAGATGATGTGTGACATTTGGCTGAACTGCGTCCATATGTAAAAGATCAAAATGTGAGCCAAGTCACAATGCGGCGTGACTCCGAAAATCAAATGTAATCCTAGGCTGCTGACTTATATCGTCTAGAACAAAAGCAGCCAGGGTGTTATTGTCCCCTACATTGGTCAGACCTCATCTAGAGTAACGACGTAGTCTTGGCACGGCATGTGAACATATGGTGATGGGCACTGACAGTGCATGACTCATCCGGAGAGCAAATGGGGGAAACGGGATTGTGAGGAATGACGGAAACCCTGCGCAGGATATGGACTTGAAAAAAGAAAAGGGTATATACATGTGATAATCATCATAGTTATGCAAATGTATGGAGCATGTGTATTGAGCAAGTAATCTTGGGCCAGCTGTCATGCAGGATTTTATGTGATATAACAAAAAACCAAACTCACTGCCATTGAGTCGATGCCGACTCATAGCGAGCCTATAGGGCAAAGGAGAACTGCCCCAGCGAGTTTCTGAGACTGTAACTGTTTATGGGAGTAGAAAGCCCCGTCTTTCTCCTATGGAGCGGCTGGTAATTTCGAACTGCAGACCTTATGGATCGCAGCCCAATGCGTAACTACTATGCCTGGAAGGCCGTTGTGTAGATGTAGAAGAATCAAAACATTCAGGGTAACCTCAAAGCATGGAATTAGGAGTAATGAATGAAAGGCTTTCGAGGAGTGTTAATTCAGCTCTACATAAAGTTGAATTATCTTATCATTGATACCACCTCACAATTGATTCGTCTGCCTTAGAAGAAAGAGTCCATCATACCAGACATGTTCAAGCAGAAACTGAACAACTGCCTGTGACCTGTACAGAGGATTTAGAATTACTTTTGAGTAAAAAGACTCCTTGGGCCCTCCGTCGAGATTCGCTCCTGCTCACAGAGATGACATTGGGCTATAGAAGAGAATTGGCTACAAGCAACTTAGTTGGACTGCAATAAAAAGGCAATTGCATGCATGACAGGAATTTTCTGAATACAGTACTATGCTATTTGGCCTCAGCTGCTGGGGCCACTGTCTGGATGGGGAAGCATAAAGAGCCCCAGATCCTGGAGGGTCTACAAAGGCTCAGGGGCAGGCTTCAGAGTTCTGTAACATTGATTTGCTTCTTAAACTAGGCTTCTTCTTTAGTGATGAAAAATATTTCATTCATTCCTCAAATAATGCCAAGTCAAGGACTAACGACAGTCTCAAATGAATGTCCCAAGCTTTCAGTCCGGCTATGAGTTAGTTCTGGAAAGCCTTCCTCTCTCTCCTGATTACCTCCAGCCTATGGTTTCTTCCCTTTAGCAGTACAACACAGAAACCCCCAGTTCTATCTCATTCTCTCTTGGGAGCTTAGCTAACCAATGTGAGTAGTACAAATGATTTGTCCCTATTTCTGTTCTCATTTGAACTTGGCCTTCGTCTGTGTTTGCTTATCTGAAACAATCTGGCCTTCAAATTGTGGTCAGCTCAATCTGCAACGGAGGATGATTTAAAAATAGCCTTTGGAGCCCTGGTGACATAGTGGTTGTGCACTGCGCTGCTATCCACCAGGATGACAGTTTGAAACCACCAGCTGCTCCGTGGGAGACAGATGGAGCTTTTTACTCTCGTATGCCGTTACAGTCTCAGAAACTCACAGAAACAGCTGGGTCGCTATCCGTTAGTACTGACTTGATGGCAGCGAGTTTGGGTTCTGCTTTGGGTTTTCTTCTGTTGAATAAAGCACTTTCAAAACTTGACCTCTAGCATGGTGCTCCTCTCTTGTCAGTCACAGACTTTTCCAAAAGGTTTTATTTTGGAGCCTTACTCCCAAACCCCATCTGACGTAAGCACATACCAAAGAGCCACGTGCTCAGAGAATTCCCGGGGTTTCTTACCAAGCAAATGGGCAGGGAGGTATCCTGTTGGACTGATTTGCTGAGGGTAGACGTCCATCAGCTTTCTCCTCACGTAGGCATGCAGATGTTCATATAATGGTTTAATCTGAAAACCCCGGAAAGAAAGTTTAGAACCCAGGGTGCAGATTTCCAATTTCCGATCCCAACCCCCCAACCTAAAATAGAATAGCACCTTTAAACAATTTCTGAATTTCAATAGACTGAAGACATGCTTGCTTTCCCTCACAAATACGCTGGAGCGTTCTAAAAGCAGTCCTGCTTGGCAAGTATTGATGGGGAGGAGCGCCACTGTGGGAAGCAGGAAAAATTCCTTTGAAGGCGTTACCCACTTTGTTTTGTAAAAATCGAGGTATCATGGGATCAAATGGACAAACAACAGCTAGAAAGACTAGGTAAGAAACGTAAGGGGCAGGGCAGTGAGTCCCTGTTCATGGGGGAGGCACGACTTGGAAAAGGAGGCTGAAAATGTTTGTACAACTCCAAGATGATGCAATCAATCTCATTGAATGGCACAGAGAAAGAAACTGTTGATATATGTTCTGTTGTGTACACTCTCAACAACAACCAAAAAGAGAAACCAATTTTTTAGACCTAATGAATACTTTTTTTTAAATGTAATCATTTTATTTTGGGCTCATACAACTCTTATCACAATCCATACATATATCAATTGTGTAAAGCGCATTTGCACATTCATTACCCTCATCATTCCCAAAGCAAGTTTAAAAAATTGAAGTATAATTTACCATCCATAAAAATCATCCATGTTAAGTGTAGTTTTCTTATGTATGAACTATTTTATTAGGTGACAACCCCGTCATATAATTCAGTAGTTCTGTTGTATCAAGACGTGTTGTGTATTGTTACCAGGTGTAGAACCATTTCTTCATTCTTGTATTCATCATTACTAGCTCCCCATGTCCCCCTAACCTCCACTGCCATATCCCCCAGGAACCCTTCCTTAATCCAGTTATTGTCTCTATGGATTCGCCCATCCTGTTTTGGCTATGATGGGCACTTCGCATAATTGGAATAATACAATAGGTGGTCTTTTGTGGGGTTTTGCTTTTTTCGCTCAGCATAATGGTTTTGGAGGTTGGTCATGCTGTTCATTCTTTTTTATTAGTGAGTGGTATTCCATTGTGTGGCTATATCTTAGTTTATCCACATGTAGCAGCTAAAGAATAGGTGGGTTGTTTCCTCTTTGGGACTATTACAAATAATGCCACCGTGAACATCTATGCTGAAAACTTCTTGTGGCGATATGTTTTCATGCATTTTGTGTAGCTACTGCAGGTCCAATAGCTGGGTCATATGCTAAGTGTATGTTTTGCTGTTTAAAGAAACTGTCATAGTATTTCCCAAAGTGGTTGTATTACTTTACATATCTACCAGCAGTACATGAGGATTCCGATTTCTCCATATCTTTGCCAACACTCGGTCTGGTCAGCCTTGCTAATTACAGTCATTCTGGTGGGCGTGTAGTGGGTTCTCCTCATGATTTGAAGGTACATTTCCCCAATCATTTTTTTTCTTATTTACTTGCCATTTTTCTCATTTCTTTGATGAAGGACTTATTCAAATCTTTTACCCATTTCTTTCAGGAGGGCTTGGTTTTGCTCTACTTCCATTTTTGGTAGATCTACCTGAAGCCCTGGAAACCCTAGCAGGGAGCTCTGCTCTATCTTATAGGGCCATTCTGAGTCAAAATCAACTCCCTAGCAGTGGGTTTGGGTTTGGAGCCCACTGTGATGGTAAAGGCAGAGCCCACAATCACACTAGAAGCTTGAAGGGGCAGGAACAAAAGGAAACACGGGGACTAGAATGAAGGAAAAATGGGTACTGGGAAGTGGGGAGGAACCCTTCTGCTCAGAAGACATTCCCTTCTCCACAAAGGCTTCCTTAGGTAAAAGGCTAAGGAAATAATGGTGTCAGCTATCCTGAAAAGGAAGTAAAGCCGATGATTCTGCCAATGACGAAAGACGGTGCCTACCCCAAGTAGCTCATGAAGACCATTCCTGCTGATCTTCTTCTTGAAAATGGAAGATATCTCTAATTTTATTTTGTTGCGAGCATGAGTTGCTGTGAGCAAGAGTTACTATGTAAACATAATAAGACATAGTTTCTACATGTACAATATACTGACGGCATCCTTCCAGCTGTACAACCACTTGTACCCTCTCTCATTAGCAAACTCATTACCCCATAAGGTCTCCATCTAATCTTTCAAATATGTATTGTACTTCTGATCATCTTCTCTGACTAACTGCTAGTCAAAGAAGAAGTGCCTAGCTTACCTGTTCAAAAGTATGTTCCACATCTTTAATCAGTTGGCTGCGGCTATACTCAGTTGTTTCATAGTCTCCTCTCCAGTAATCCCCATAGTCCTCGTAACCTGTAAAAAGAAGTGGGGGGCGGGGGAGGGGGGCAGGGAGAAGAACGAGGAGAAACACAATAGACATAAATTAGCTTTGTGGGAACTTAAACAAAGCCACAGGCTTATCACATTTTTATTGCCCATCTGCACATCAACTCAAAGGGAAGCAAGTAAAGAAAAACACTAGCTAATAACTGTTAAAGGAGCCAGGTGGTACAACAGTTGAACGCTTGGCCGCTAGCTGAGAGGTTGGTGGTTCAAACTCAGGCAGAGGCTCCCTGGGATAAAGATTTGGCAATGCACTGCCACAAAGATGACAGCCTAGAAAATTGTATGGGGCAATTCTAATCTGAGTTGTATGGTGAGTTAAAAACGAACTTGACAGCATCCAATGATGACGACAATGAAGAGGACGTTTCATTTAACATGTTGAAAATCCTACAAGAGTATTTCATTATTATAACCCTTCCTTTCTGTGCTGGTTGGTCCCTGTGTTTGTGCTCCTATACAAATCAAAAGTTTGGCAGTTCAAACCCACCCAGCAACATCGGGGAAGAAAGGCCTATGGCAATCTGCTCCCATAAAGAGTACCGCCAAGCAAACCCTAAGGACCTCTGTTCTCTGTTGCATGAGGTCACCATGAGTCTGAATCAATTGGACAGCAATGGGCTTGGCTTTCCTAGTGGTTACGTGTTAGGCTGCTGCCTGCAGGGTTCGAAACTACCAGCCACTGTGAGGGAGAAAGATGAGGCTTTCTACTCCCATGAAGAGTTACAGTCTCAGAAACCCACAGGGGCAGCTCTACCCTGTCCTATAGGGTTGCTATGAGGGCAGTGAGTGAGTTCAGAATAACAGCCTGCTCCTCCCAGAGGGAAAGTCACTACTCCAAAGTCAGATGGATGGTCAAGAGCAGAAGTGCCTCCTATTCCCTTATGTCCGAGTCTTGACTCTCCGTAGGTCAGTTTGCACCTTGACCTTTAGAACACATGCTAGGACATTTGAATCATTTCACTCACATTGTTGCTCCATGCCTTCAGATTTTAGATCTGACCCAATACATCGCAGACCTTGATGCCTTGGGCCTGTTTGGGTTCTCAAATGACATGCAAACTCGATGTCGCTAATATACATGCACAGCACATCTTGATGTGCTTTCTTTAGTATTTCTCCATCAGGCAATGTGAGCTTGTGTTGGGATTTTCAGCGAATCCAGTTAGCGAACGCCTTTCAGGCACTTCTTTTTACAGAGACCTTGGCAATGGCGGATCCAGCAAATGAATAGAGGAATAAAATTGTTGGAGGGAGAGTGATGCGGGATATGGCTGTGTTTGTTATTGTTGCCTAGAGCTTGCCTAGAGCTTCGGCGATGGTGGATGACATTTAGAAAGGACAGATGAAAACATTCTTCCTTTCTCCGCCACAGCAAGATCAGTCATTTCTGGCTGTGTTGTGGTGGAGTGTCATTAACTTGGGCCCAACTCAGAGCAACCTCATGAACAGAGTCGAGTGGCCCCGTAGGGCTGCCTAGGCTGTCATCTTTATGGGAGCAGCTCCTCAGGCCGCTCACCCACGGAGTCCCCAACCTTTCAGTTAAGGGCTTTGATCGCACCACCGCTGTGTAGCCAAGAGTCCTTTGAGTTCTAAGGGCAACTGCTGGAAAGAAGGAGGTTGCTGCTGAAGCTCATCTGATTTGGTCCTTCTTTCTGGGGCGACACCCTGAGGGAGACACCCCCGCCTCCCATGACCTCGGAGAATGAACTCTGACTATGTGGGCCGAGATGTAGAATCCTCATTCAATTTCTGGACTTCTTTAGGGTGGGGGGTGGCGGAGAGCTCACTGGATAGTTGCTTCCTTTGAAGTCCTGTAGAAAACCTTCACTCCCGAGCTCTTCAAACTTTAGAATGGCAAGGCTTCTTCTTGCAAGGGATACCCTGAATGGCTCAGCAGATGAGCTTCCAATTAGGGGCAGCCCTGGTATGAAAGGGTGGATTTGGGCATGCGTGTGAACTGGCCCTATGACCCATTGAGGGCTTCCAGACCTTTTTTTTTTTACAAAAGAAGAAAGCAAAAGAAACTTGGTGCTGTTGAATGGCCTTGGACTCAGGGCGACTTTGTCTGTTACAGCAGAAAACTGCTCCATAGGATTTTCTTGGCTGTAATCCTAATACATGGCCACTCTTTCCCCCGTGACATCACTAGTTGTGTTCTAGCCACCAATCTTTAAATGAGTAGCAGAGCACCATCCTTTGGGGCCTCCCAGGGATCTGTCCGGACTCTCTGCAGACTTACCATTCTTTCTTGCCATCTCATTTTTCAGGTCCACATATTCTTCATACAATGGCCGGAGCTGCTTGCCGATCTCAGCCCTCCAGCCTTCCCAAGCCCAGAGCCTCTCGCCATAATCTGTGCTGGTTGCCATGATGTGATCCAACCCTGTTATCACAAAGCACCCATGTAAACAAGCCTCCATTTATAGGCCTTTTATGTGTAAATAAGCATAGGGACTTTAAAGAGTTAGCAGCAAGATTAGCAGCTAGCCAGATCATGTCTGTTATGAAAAGAAATTGCAGTTTGTTCATGTCTGCCTGCAAGGAATACAAGAGTAAAAGTATGGTACTAGGGTCCGGTTCATACTGCACAGATTTATTCCCAACACGTGTTGAAACATGTCTCTGGGATCAGTGAATGGCTGCAGGCACATTCTCTCAGTAATACTTCCATCTCAGTCTTATTAGGGTGTCTTAAAAAGAAAAAAGAAAGAAAGACAATGGGTACTCTGTGCCATGGGGGAAAAAACGACTTTGAGGTCAGGACCACTAATCAAATTTTTAACAAAGCCCAAGTGGCCATCTTCCCAAATCATTGAAGCTTTGCCACAAGTTTCCAGGCCTGATGCTCTGCATAAAACCGTTTTTAGATGCATCAGTCATTTTAAGGAAGACTGGCAAGATCTCAAAAGATCAATTCAAGGCAGAGAGGTGAGCTCAGGAGGTTCTGGCAACCGGGTTTTGAGATTCCAAAGGAGCCATCTAGATAGGGTTTCCTTGAAGGACGCAGAAGAATCATGGGGTGCGGGGTGGGGTGGGGTGAGGCTTATTAGGAAGAAGTCTTAAGAAAATTGAAAGCGACATCGGTGAGTACAAGGCCAGGGAATTCGGACCAAGGGACTTTTCTCCAGCAGGGCCATGCGCCTGCTCATTGTTCAAGGGGAACGAGGGCTGTCCTACTAGCATGTCCTGGGGAAAGCTGACCGCATCTACCCTACAGCCCTCATTTTGCCCCTTCAGACTTCTCGTGGTTCCCACGTAGCTAAGAACAGTGAAAAGGATCACAATTAGAGTTCCTCAAGGAAGCCAAAACTGCCGTTTTGACGTGGTGGGAATCAAAGAGCACAGGCTTCTTTGAGGAAGGGTAGAGCTATGGAAACGCCATTGTCAGGCATGTCTAGACCTAGGAGGGGGGATAGGTTGAGAAACAATCACTTCACGTGTTGATATGTTTGTTCAATGATTTTGTAGCAATACCTTTTGCCTCATCCTTATAGACACTACTTGAAATGATTACAAGTGCAATGAAATTACTCGAACGTGACAAAGTTTACCAGAAGATCTTGTTAGACATTAAAAGAACATCTACAGGTCGAAATGTACATATTTGGAACTTTATCATCTTTGGGTTAGCCAGGCAAGGACTTTCAGAACTTGACACACACAAAAAAGGAAATTTCTTAATGGCTACTCAAAATAAATCATGGGGGCAGGGGTGATTTGGCAGTAAAGGCTCACCTTCCATAGAAGAGACCCGGGTTCAATTCCCGGCCAAGGCTACCACCTGTCTGCCAGGCGCGGCTTACCTTCTGCTATGAAGCTGAAAAGATTTCAGCAGAGCTTCCAGACTAAGACAGACTAGGAAGAAAGGCCTGGCAATCTACTTCCAGAAATCTGCCTGTGAAATCTCATGGATCACAACACTTCTACCAAAAACCAGTCCTGGAGATGGTGCAGGTCTAGGCAACCACTCATTTTCATAGTGCCTGAGACCTCCACAGATCTTGGGCCAACTCAATGGCAGCTAACAACAATGCAAAAAGAACCGCCTACCTGGCTCAAGCACAAAGCATTTCCCGGGATCGTTGGGATTACAAACTTTTGCAGTACTGTAGACGGCGCCCATTGTGTTGAGAATCGTGTCCAACTGCAAAGGAAAGATCATAAGCAATATAGCCATAGAAAATAGGCTAAAGATGTCCTTTTTGGCCATGTGATTAAAAACATTTTTATATATTATCTCCATATATTCTCATACACCAGGAGGAATGTCTTTGTTGTTCTGCTGCCCCCGCTGTCCCCAGCTCCAGAAGGTGGAACCAAGTGCAGGTGAGTGGCTTTACTCTTAGTAGTGGGGACTCTGTCCCCTCCTGAAAGAACCCACACGTGGAGCTGCGATCTTGGGGAGAGCAGAACCACCCGCCCCTGAGTCACAGCTCTTCACCCCTAGTTAAGGCGGTTGTCAGGGAGAGTCAAGGATCGAAGGAGGCAACACTTAGACACTGTACATGGCTTCTCCAGCTTAGCAGGGCCCACATTTTGGATCAGCTAATTCTTTGTTGGGAAAGAATTGGGAAGCCCTCTGCATATGGGAGGGTGTTTAAGCAGTCCCCCCTTGCCCACTCAGTGCCAATCGCATGCCCCCAGATGTGAGGGCCCAACTCTGCCAAGTGTGCCCAGAACCACTGGCATACATTAAGTGTGCTCTTCAAATAGCATGGTCTTCAGGAAGACAGCCTACACACACCAGCTCCCCCCTTTCACTCTCCAAAGGGTCCTAGTGTGACAAATAAAAACTATGACAAATATAAAAATGATCTCATGAATATGAAAGACCTAGAATAGGTACATGTATAGAGATCAGAGTTTAATAGTGGTGACCAAGGGTGGAGGGAGCAGGGGTGGGGGCGAGGAGAGGAAGAATCGTTGCTTAGGAAGCAGTGAGTTTCTGTGGATAGGGATGGGAACATCGGCAACAGATACTGGTCGTAGTTGCAAAACGTGATTGGCACATCGTGGGCAAGGGGGACTGCTTAAACACTGTAGCACCATGTGCAGAAAGCTCTCGGCTACAAAGAGACCAATCTCATTGACTTGAACAGAAGAACAATGTTTAATTGGCAACTATTGCCATATATATATGAAGATAGCTATATAGATAGATGATATAGATACATCGGCATAGCGATTTTTAAAGGGGCAGGGGAGAATCCCACTTTGGATGGTAAATGTTATGATCATCCATCCTAGACACTGGGTTCTTGTTTAAGGTCAGTATTACTATCTGTGCAGGTAAAGGAAATAGCCAGGGGTGATAGGAACATTTAAGAGTTCCCAAATATTTGAACTCTTGGACTCCAAGATAAAAAATCCACAAACGTACCCGTTTGCTCTTCTCTTCTGATAGCACCGATGACCCTTTATGCTGCAGGGCCTTTAACTGAAGCTTGATGATGGGATCAGTCATTTCTTCCAGTGAGAATTTACTGGCCAGCTTGGACTGTTGTTCATAAAAGGTAGACCACATGGCCCCAGCCTCACTCTATGACAACAACAAAAATATACATGGAAGTTAGAATGGTGCTGTCGGAAGGCATAGAGCATAAGCTATAGTCCAGAAACCATCTGGTGGAACATTGAATCCTTTCTGAGTGGTTTAGTCCTCTCCTTGGCTGAAGGTCGAGGCTTGAGTTAAGAGTGATGAGGCCACTCTTGGTCACTTTCTCTTTCTGGCTCTTTGCCTAGTTCATCTCATCCACCCCCTCCCACCCAGAGCTGCAATGGAATTCTCAGAGATGATTCACACTGTGAGGCTCTGGAATGTGTGGTCTTCATGCTGTGGCATGAGTGACTTTTCCAAGGAGTCAAAGGTGGACGTTCTAACGGGGGAATAGAATAGAATGCTGGGTAGACTTAATGATGACGGTGGTGATGGAAACCTTGAGAAACGAGATTCTGCGCAGGAAGCACCTAGGTGCCCTGGTGTAGCCCAGAGGTGCTGATCTTCGATGATGACCCCAGATGAAAGTTGGCCCCAGGTATGGCCCTAGGTCGGTGATGGTCATTTTCTACCAGTAAAGGAAACTAAATAGAGATGTGACCTGATGGATATGGTGTCTGGAAGGGACAGCGGTGGGTCAGACAAGATGAAGAGAATAGTGACAGAATGGAGAAGCGAGGGCGGGGTGGAAAGGGGGAGCCAATTACAAGGATCTACATATCACCTCCTCCCTGGGGGACAGGCAACAGAAGAGTGGGTGAAGGGAGACGTCGGACAGTGTCAGATATGACAAAATAATAATTTATCGATTATCAAGGGTTCATGAGGGAGGGGGAAGGAGGGAGGAAGGGGAAAAAATAAGAAGCTGATACCAAGGGCTCAAGTAGAAAGAAAATTTTTGAGAATGATGATGGCAACAAAAAATGTACAATTGTGCTTGACACAATGGATGTATGTATGGGTTATGATGAGTGTTGTACGAGCTTCCCCAAAAATGATTTTAAAAATGAAAAGAAAAAAAAGAATGGAGAAGCTTTTCTCTCATTGGTGCACATGTACAGCATTTGAAGAACTCTGGTTTCAGTGGGTGTTGAGTTGATTCCCTGGTGTCCCTGGGGGGGGGGGCGGCACAAACAAATCAGTGTTTCACTACTAGCTGGAAGGTCAGTGGTTGGAACCCACTCAATGTGCTTCCAGAAGGTCAGAGGCCTGCAAACCCAATGGAGGGCTGTTCTACTCTGAAACACAGGAAGATGTCAGGCATTGCGGGGACAAGCACAACATTCTGTGAGGTAGTTATTATCTCCATTTGACAAATGGGGAAACCGAGGCACTGAGCTGGTAAGTAACATTCCCTCGGTCACATCGCTCGTCACGGGAACACCAAGGGCATCAACTCCAAAGCTCATGGTCTCACCATGGTCTTAGCCAGTGTGCTAGGCACATGCTGGTCTATTTTCCTAAGCTGCAAGAGTGAGCAGGAATGAAGGAGAAACTGAGTCTCTAGTGCGGTAGCCATCAACACAACTCACGATGCTCTCCTCCTCACTCAGTCCGGGAGGGTTTACTCTGCAGCAAAAATTCTGGGAACACTTTGATAACAAGTGAGATGGATGTTTCCATTCTCAATCTACGCTGGAAGCAACTCCAAATGCCCCTAAAGGCCTCAGTCTCAAAACATTATTTTTGATTATTAGACCAAAGGACAGAACATGGAACAAGGGCATCAGATAGAATTTCATTTCTCATTACCATCCTGAAGGGCTGCGCTTTTCCAGCACGAAGAGATTCCGTAAGGTTGCCTTGCATTTGGGCCCCCGAGGACCTACTATTCCCTTTTTCTAATACTATTTACAATTTATTCTGTACTTTTCCCCTAGGGCTCCCAAGACCAAATGAAACAGATGGCTTAGCGGTTGTGCCGAGAATGAAAGTCAGTTTATACATACCAATCAGATGATTTAGACCTGGGTCGATAGCTATGTATAATTCTTATACCTGAATAATGGATGAAACGAATATATATACAGCAGTTTACACAGCTCCGGGGCGCTAAGGGACCATTAAAGAGAGAGACAAAAGGCAGCATCTTACACAGCAATGAAAACAACAGCTATGTCTGCAGCCAGAGATGAGCGTTCAGGGCAAGACCTATTGTCCAGGACAAGCACGGGCAAGCCCCAAATGCTCGGACCTCATATATATAACGATGGCTGCTGGTGCCTGTTGTTGAGCCACACAGTACAACTGCCCCACAGGATGCGCTTGTCTGTAATTTCCAGGATGCAACAGGTAAAATCTTATATTTGAGTTTGTACAAATTCAAAAACATACCCTGCTCTTTTGGAGCCCTCGCCATATGCATCATTTGGAATCCCTAGACTATGTGCACTGGCTGTTAGCCAAAAAACTGGTGGTTTGAGTCCACCCAGAGGCACCTCGGAAGCAAGGCCTGGCTACCCACATCTGAAAATCAGCCACTAGAAGTCCTATGGGACAAAGTTCTACTCTGCCAGGCCTGGGGTCACCATGAGAGTTCAGGTGTTGCTGGTGGATGCTTGGCATTCTGCCAGTGTGCTTGGATCAGTTTGGTGATTGCACCAAAATGTGGAGGTAATTCGACAGCCTCTTTTGTGATCTCCAAGTCCCGTGATGGTGAAAGTTCAGTTTCACCCAGGGCAATGTCGCTAAAATGAATGTTATCTACTTTTCATGACAAAGAAAAACTCGTCTGGACAAGGGTCCCAGAGCATGTGATTCTTGTTAAGTCAGATCTAATCTTCCACAGATGTAACTTACCCGGCCATAATGGTTACCTGCTGAGAAATGTTGCCTGTACCCACCAACCTCCTTACATTCCAAGAGACAAAGTCATCAGGGACGTGACTTGCCCAAGGCATCACAGCCAGCTAAGGCAAATCAGGTGAGCACTGAATTTCCTAATGTCCCTGACACTTGCGGAAGTCCCCCGCATGGTACAAAAGATTCACTGTAAAACAGGAACTTCGAGTCCACCCAGAGGAGCCACAGGAGAAAGAGCTGGCAATCTGTTTCAGAAAACGCAGCCATTGAAAACCCTATGGGACCCACTTCTAGTGTGACACACATGGGGTCACCATGCACTGAGTCTGGCTCACAAGTAGCAGGTTCATTACATTAAAATACTTCCTCACAATTTGATATAAGAACTTCCATTGTAGGTCAGGCCCATAGACTGCCAAAGCCTGTCTTCTGATTTTGAAAGTTACACCAGGGGACAATTTGGGAATGGCAGATGGTCCTCAATAAGTCTTCCTGGTTGAACATGAACACACACACGTCATTTTGTGCCTAGTGCCCCGTCCTGTGACATCTATGAAACCCTTCCTCTGTGTGAGCCCAGGGCTGCAGCCGGCGTGTCAATTCATCTCACTGGGGGGTCTTTCTCTTTTTCCCTGACCCTCACCTTCGCCACACAAGATCCCTCTCTCCAGGGAGTGCCTCCTCCTGATATTGAAAGTATGTGAGAAAAAGTCTCGCCACCCTCCCCTCTAAGGAGCATGCTAACTCTATTTCTGCTAAGACAGATGTGTTCGCTCTTCTGGCGCTTGAGGTCTATTCAGCACTGTTCCCCAACACCACGATTCTCAGGGGCCCCTTCTTCTTCCAGCTTCCTTCTTCAGGCTAATTTCACATGCATACGAGGTCACTGAAAATCCCATGGCTTGAGTTAGGCATGAGTTATGGTCCACAGAGTTGACTACCTTTGCGTAGTCAATAAATCATGGGTAGACATCTTTCTGCTTCGCTCTGCTACCAGCCATGATCCATCTGACATCCCTCATCCTATGTCCTCTTCTGAATCCAGCTTGCATGTCTGGCAAGTCTCATGGTGCCTGGGGTCACCGTGAGTTAGGGGCCAACAACAACTAGGATCATCAGCTTCTTCATTTTTCAACTGAGCAAAGTAGGGTTCAAGAAAGTTAAGAAACTTGCCCTATTGGATCTTGTTAGAGTCAGTGTGAGGATTTGAACCCAGTGTGTCTGGCCCCAGAATCCACACTTAGTCCAAACATTAGACCCTTACACTTGACAGTGCAAATGTGCTCTCCCTGCCCTGGCAGGATATCATATCTCAGCGGCCTGCTCGTCTTCGGATCTCTTGTGGCACCTCCCACAGTGCCCCCCACCCCCCAGGACGACTCCACGAACACAGCGAACACACAATACACAGCTCCCGCCCAAACCAGATTTAAACCAAGGAAGAGTAAAGGTGAGAAGGGACAGAGAAGAAAGGCAGGAACATATCCCCCCCGCCCGCCACTCCCACACACACTACCACTCCTCAACCCGGGACAAGTGTAGGCTGTCAGCCTCGGGGTTTCTCTGAGCTTTAGAAAAATAGAAACATCCCTATGGAGCGTGGGTGGGGGCGCTTCTCAATATACTCAGTCGATAGAAGCAGGGGAGGAAGAATCACCCTCACCTCCCCCATTGCCTCCCTCCCCAGGCAAGCCCACCCAGGGGCCCCAACTAGCACTAATTCACCCTGCACCACTGCTGAAGGCAGAAGAGAGGAGCCAGCCTGCTTGTTTCCTACAGGGGACCCTTTCCATTTTTCCTTTAAAGGGCTCCCGCTTTCCTGCAGTTCAGCCACCCGGAGAGATTTATACCCTCCTCTTGCTGGCCTTTGCTCTAATCAACCGGGACAATTCAAAGGTGCTTAATGAGCCAAAGAGATGGTTTCCGCACACATCCCATTCCAGAGCATGCCTTCTCAGCATCTGGATGCTCCACACAGCTGCCACCTGCCTTTTCAGCAACCACGCTAATAAGGATGACTTCCTGGTGTCCTGTGTCCCCACAAGCACTATTCCGGTGGCTTTGGGGGTTCCTTCCGTCTTTGCAACTATGCCCTGAGGCAGATGGCAATGGTGTCTTCTTCCTTACAGATGGAAAAAAATGCGGGCGCTGAGAGGCTCATTAACTAACTCAAGTTCTTAAAGCTCAAAAGTGGTAGAGTGTGGATTTGAACCTAGACAGTCTAGCTCCAAAACTCTTCGACGCGATGCTAGGACATCTTCCTTCACCGCCACCCAGGACAATTCAGCTAAAACACAAGACACAGCACATGACTTTCACCTCCAGCCAAGACCAGATTTCAACGGAGGGTGAAGAGGAAGAGAGCAAATACAAGACCAGCCGGCCCCCAGGACCCCCTTAGGCTATCAGCACCAGGGTTTCTCTGAGCTTGGGAAAAATAGAAACATCCTCTTGGCAGATTTCTAAAGAGGCAGTAGGTCTCAGATTTGATCAGTCCTGTGAAGGGCAATGATTTAATTTAAACACAAAAATCTAGTAAGCATGGCTGGGGTGGGGACAGGGGTTCCGAACAATCCTTTTGAAAGAATGTGTTGCTATACAGCTGTCACACACACACACACACACACACACACACACACACACACACACACACAAAAAACGGAAGCGTGAGAGATATAGCCATAGTTTCAGTAACCCTCACTTACAAAGGCATAGCTCTACCTAGGAGGCTTACAGCTGTCACACACACACACACACACACACACACACACACACACACACACACACACAAGTATTCTCGGAAGTAACGCGATTCCATTCTCCGTGACTCAAGTGTAAAAGAAGACGGTTCTGGGGGGTTTGAAAGAAGAAACCCCTATGCCCTTGCATTCGTCAAAGTATCTTGCTTTCCCAAGGCATGCTGATATTTGTCAGAACTGGTTTAATTATAGCTTTTCCTGGAGGGCTCTGGATGGATTTTGTGACCTTTGGAAATCCCTCAGAATTCTAAGACAGTGAGGGAAGGCAGTCGCAAGTCCAGCGCTGCCCGACCCCTGGTTAACTTACTGACCAGCTAACTCTTCCACTAAGGTGCCAGTTGCATTTTTCAGTTAATGTATCATTTGTACGGAATCTTTAGATATTCCTGTTGGCATTGGAGGCTTGGGAAACTATTAAACTCAATCACGGATGGCAGTCCCACAACATGTTTTGAAACCGTGACAATAATGAGAATTATGGCCATAGCTCTATTAAAACATGCCCCCTGGCTTCCAGGAGTCTGCACTGAGACCAATGATTTCTATGGTAATGCTATTCCAAATGAACCCCAAAGTCAACTACATTTAGATATCTGGCACCCCAGAATCAGGTTGACAGAAGCAAACATCCAACCACAGAGATAAGATAATGTATATGATTTCTGTTTTCCATTTTATGGGTAGTAATCTCTTCTTTAAGAAGCAACAAATACCCTTTTATGTCATCATAAGAACTCACCATCTTTTTGGCATTCTCTTCGGTAATATTGGTGTTATAATTCCAAGAAGCAAGGGCACTTTGGTAAGAGACGTTTTCGGCTTCATTGTTAAATGTGGTCAGAAAGCTCCTGGCCTGGTCTTCGGTGGTCGACTGAGCAAGAGATACAGCAGCGAGGCTGAGAAGGAGCCAGATAGAGCCTGACATCTTCCCCGAGCACCAAGATCCCATCCACTGAAGAAGTCTTCCTGTAGTCAAAGCTCCTCGTGAGCGTTCCTCTCTCATCAGCCTTTGAACTTGGGTTGGGCACTGAGCAGGGAAGATAAAAAAAAAAAAAAAAGAGGATGAAGAAGAAATTTTAAAAAAAAAGAAAGCACAGCCAACCATCTGCTGAACTTATATAAAGTTCATCGTGGAGAGAACAGATATATAAACAGATTTTAGAATGAAATTTTTTAAAGGAAACCAAATAAACAAATGTTATTCATTAATCCTAGAGAACCATAGCTCTCCCAAGCACTTTACGGCCAAATCAAAAGTTTTACATACGGTTAATATGTTACTAAAAAGCTGTTTAAAATGTCCTGAAAGTGCCATAATTTTACAGTGACAAAAGAGGCCTCTAATTAGGGACCATGGGGGCAATCTTGTTGCCTTATAGATATGTTTTTTCAGACAATTCCATTAATAGTTTCCCAGCCCCGTTTCTTTTTATTTCTCTTCCTAAATAAATGGCTCAGCCTTGGTTCTTATGGAATGCATTTGTTTTTATCCTGATAACCTTTCATTTTTATGGCTATTTAGAAAAATGCTGAGAGTATCCTCCCCGCCACCCCCACCCCCCCCACCCGCCACCCACACACCCTTCCATTCCTCCTTCACTCCACAGACTAATGCTCTGAGTCTGAGTCCAACTTTGGACAGGTTAAGAAGGTCCCTTGTCCCATTCTGAGATGGCCCTGTTAAACACTGGAGCTCCTTCCCTTTCACTCACCTGTGCCTCCTTCCCTTTCACTCACCTGTTCCCAACTCAGTGGAGATCACAAGGAAGGGAGAATGTGGTATGAAATCCAAATGGCGTCCCAGCCATCCATCTCCTGTGATCACAACCACGTGGGATCTGGAGAGGTTTCAGTGGCTGTGGTGTTAAATTTCAGGAGCTGCCTTGGGACGATAGGTCTGAGTGTCATAGATAAAAGAGAGGAAGCACTCTCAATGGCAGGGCTCATGGGCCTGTTTGACTGTGATTGTGAAACTCTCACACAGGGAAACATTTCTGCACCCAGAAAAACAAGTCTCCCAACCTCAGGTGAAATGCTAGTGACCAGTTGCCATAGAATCAACTCCAACCCATGGTGAGCCCCAGGCAGAGTAGAACTTGTGCTCAAAGTTACCAGTAAGCAGGAGAGGTAGAACTACCAACTGGCTAGCAGCACTTTTTTCCTCAATTCGTTGTTGTCAGTAATCTCTGCGAATAGTTCAAAAACAAAAAATGAGGATAGCATCAGAAATTTAGAAGGGCAGTCCTACCCTGTCCTCTAGGGTTACCAAGATGGTAAAATGAGGAGCTCTGGTGACTTAGTGATTACGAGCTGGACTGCTAACCAAAAGGTTAGCAGTTTGAAACCACTAGCCAAGCCTTTCTTCCAAGGCACCTCTGGATGCATTCCGTCTGATTGCCAACTTTTAGTTAAGAGTCAAGCCCATAGTTTCCTAGATCATGGTAGATGGGTAGAGGGTGGGGGCTGGGGGTAGAGGTCCATGATAAGTAACACTGTTCAAAGTGATTTACATTTACAAAGTATTACCACCTTTCATCATCATCCTAAATCTATAGGTAAATATCAATCACCATTTTGCTGACTATGAAACAGAGACTCAAAGAGCTCACCTTGCCCCAAAGGCACTCAGGTTCGAGAGCCAGGACCTAAATCCATGCAGTCTGATTCTAAAGTACATGCGGGCACCTGGGCCAGTTTCAGTCAACAGTGCAAAAGCACCCATGGAGGTAGATGAAGGCTTCCCTGCAGTGACGATGAGGGTTTGGTGTCACCGCATAGAGAAGAACCATTACCACCCTGGACAGCAATCAAAATAGAGAGGCCTTTTTCAGCAAAAAGAAAAAGTCACTAACAAATATAAGACTTACTGTTAATGAATGGAACAAGAAAATAAGATGGGGAATATATCAGTGTCAAAAGATCTGCCCCAGCAAAGTTCCTCCCCAAGTCAAGGAAGCTGAGAACAACGTGCGGCAGGCGGGGGTGGGGGTGGGGATGGCGGGGTGGAAGACAAGAGAGGGGCAGGTTCGTAACAAAGAGTTGGAATTCTACTTTAAGAAAAGCTGAAACAAAACTCCGTGCAGGCCGTTTCCTGAAGGCAGTCCTTGGGTTTCAGGGTGGTGGAGAGAGGGGAAGAAAAATAAGCGAAGTTCAAATTCAATTCATTGAGGCAGAAAACAAGATTAACGCGATCACTTAGGAAAAAAAGAAAGCAAGGGATGAAATCTGAAAGGTACAAGCAGGTGGACAAGAAGACTGATGAAACAGTGAGGCAAGAAACTTCCAGAAGCCCGGAAGCTATGAGGAATGAAGGCAGCAGGAGAATGATCTATCTCGATTTCATAGAAAACCACTTTTTCAGCTAGTACAGGCCGAATGGTTGCAATTCCTGTTTAGTCTCCCCTGCAAAGAGGCCGATGGTCACTTGGTTCTGAGACGGCAGAGTCCATGGAGACTCAGGATAGAACCTAGAAACGCAACCCACATAAAAGAATGAGTTGTCTTGGAGTAGGAATGGAAAATTAGAAGAAATGAGAAGACCAAGCTCTTCATATTTTTCAAGAGGATGGGGAGTGGATTTCATGAACTCAAGAGTAGAGAGTTTGACCTTGGCACCTGACTAAAGAATAAAATGTAATTTTTTTACAGTGTAGTTTCCACTTAGAAAAATAGCTCTGGTTCCACGAAGAAAAAATCAGATGCTGCTTGCCTCGTTTCCTTCCTGACAAGAGACTATCATTGTTGTGAAGGGCCATCAAGTGCGTTCCAGCCCATAGCGACCCTGTGCGCAATAGAATGAAACACTGCCTGGTCCTGAGCCACCCTCACAACTGTTCTTAGGCTTGAGATGAGACCAGAATCGTAGGGGGTGGGGGAAATCCAAAGAGAGTGTATCTGCCAGTTCAATAACGCATTTCATAATTCAGCAAGTTGTACAAGTCGATCTAAATATGCTTAAAACAACCACAACACTATAGGATCAGGCAGTTCTCTGAACAAAACAACAGAGCATCTTTATTCAGTAGCTGTGGTTTGTTGCCATGAAAGCAATTCCAACTCAGGATGACCCGATGTGTGCAGAATAGAACTGGGCTCCTGTGTTAGTAGAGAAAAAAACCCATGGAAACATGTGTATAAGGAAGAGGTTTATATACAAGAGCAATTGTGCATTAAGAAAACATCCCAACCCAGTCCAGTCCAAGGCCATAAGTCTGATATTAGCCCAAATGTCCAATATCAATTTATAAAGTCCTCTTCAGACTCACGAAACACATGCAATGA